TCTCATGTTTGGTTTATTTTTTTCCTTCTACTGCCAGGATGGGATGGGGGCTAAGGGTCCCAAACTCTGCATTGTTACCAGTGGTGGTAGGCAAGCCTGCATGGCCCCTGCATCCTGCTGCAGGCTTTACCCAAGTCAGGGAAAAAAATACTTACTTTAACAGATTGGTGGTGGTGGTGGGAAATTAACAGGATTTTTTGTTTCCTCAAATGTCAGAGAAGGTGGGTTTGTGTCTCTGCTGGCTCTGAGTTGGCTTGTCCCCTCCTTTGCTCTTTTGCTGTGGGCTGTGGAGTGGGGAGGCTGGCAGCCCTGCTGCTATTTCTGGTGGTGATGAGCTGGTGACGGGAGATGAAGGATGGCGAAAACAAAGTGTGGAGAACATTCATTAGCAATTATCCCTGCTTGCAGCTTGATTGGGGTGGCTGTTGGGGACATCTGATAGCCACTTAATATATGTTCAAAGCACTGGCGCCAGCAAGAGGGTGAATCTGGTGGCCAGTGTTTGGAAGAGCCCAGCGCTCAGCTCCCTTTTCCAGCTTGTACTCAGGTGCTACATTTAACCTCAAGCTCTTTCTGTGTGTGTTAAGCTGCCTTGAGATCTGCTTTTTTTTTTCCTTCCTGCTAATCTCTTCACAGCAAGGATCTTACAAACCTGTTAGCAGCAAATTGAAGCCCAACCAGTGCAGTCGCAGAGATGGGACAAGCAAGGAGAGTGGTGGTTGCGTGGATGCCAGTGTATGGAGAGCGTATGTGGGGTTTTCGGTTGTGTGAAGCAGTGGGCTGGAGCAGCAGTTGGTAAGCCATGCCGGCTGTTCGCAGCCCACAGAGCCCACCGTCCTCCGAACTACCTCGTCGCAAGCCCACTACAAGGTGGCAGAAGGTCTGAAAGGAGGCTGAATCTTTTTTTTTATGCCGTAGTTACAGTGCATAACCCCTCTGTTTCGAGTTTTCCTGCTCATCTGCAGGATTGGAGGAGGGTGGGTTTTCTCCTTCTTGAGGGACAACCTGGCCTCTGGGCTATACTTGTGGTAGAGGGACTTTTTAGCCACCTGCTCCTAAATGGTGAGTCGCTTCCCAGTAGAGGGAATGTCAAAGCCTGGAGTACTGGCAGCTGTCTTATTTACACCTTCAGGATTATAACGATGAGTGCCATTGAAATTAAGAAGGAACATCCCCTATCAGACTCCTGGCTGGGTTGGATTCTTGGTCTCAGTAGGGAGGGAGTGTGGTTTCCCTCATAAGTTGAACTTTTGTTTAAAAAACTGCTATTGCAGATCCTCTTTACTGGGGATATGCTCTGTCTTCTCTCTCTGGCACCCTAGATGTGGCTTTTGGGCTTTTACTACAAGTCTCAGGTTTGCTGAAGTGCTGATGGGCAGTGGCCACTGTCTGTGGGGTGTAGTAGTTGGGAGTAAATTTGCTCTCCGTCTGCTAAACTTACTGCATTGCAGATTCTAGAGTGACATTACTGATCTCTTACAGCAGAAACATTGAGAAATGAGGTTTTTTACTCGTTAGACACTTGGGCAGCTTTGGAAAATGTAAAGGAGGTAAATGAGTTTCCTGTCTCGGTGGCAGCGTCTCCGCTGAGACCGTGAGTCAACTGAATAGTTGCCAACAGGAGAGGAACCTTTGGCACGAGGCAGGTAGGTACTGATGTCCTAGCGCTGAGCTAAGCCACAGAAAGAGCTGTAGAGGTGGAGGATTGCTGCCATTCAGCCACGCTGTCTGTCTTGATCCTGTTGATGACCAGATGAGATAGCGTAGATAGAATCGGTAGTTGTCTACAGGCGACGTTGCTCATGGTGATCATGCGTGACGTTGAAAGCAAGCGCTGTTTAAGGGACTAAATAGAGAGATTTTGGGTAGGAAATACTAACAGCTCCAGTGACCTCCAGGGAATGAGGTCCATGGGGGTGCTTTCTTAAACACGTTAAATATTGGCAGCTAGTTACAGGTGCACTGGGGAGAGGCTGTGCTCTTGGTCCTAGTGATGTGTCGTGTGGCAAAAGCATATCTGGCTGTTTCTCTGTTCAGTTTGCAGGCAGTGGTTTCAAGAGATGCAGCGGGCACATCTAACCTGTTGCTGCTCTCTAAGAGGATTCTTGGTTCCTACCAGCACCTGGCCATGTGCTCCTGCCATTCACCTGCTTCACTGGACCCTTGTTTGAGCAGTTCAGCCCCTTCACCTGGCAGAAAATGGACTTTAACCAAAACTCTGTAAATTTCTGCAGAGTGATTGAGCTGAATTGACTTGTGGAAGGGATCAGGGGAAGAAAGGAGCCTGACCGTTAGGTTGGCTCAGCATCTTGTGGGAGCTCAGCCTCATCTTCTCCACCTGGGAGCATCTTGTCTCTAGGCAGAGGAGAGGGTTATGGCTTTTTCTCAGCCGTGGCAGGCAGGGATATTCTGCTTTTGTTGTTTACCAGGATGGGATAAGAGGTTTCCAGGGTAGGTAGAATAGGAAACCTTAAATGTAGCGGCTCATCAAGGGACTCCTTCCTTGCCTCCTGGGAGTGAGATGCCAGAGGATGGACTGAGGCTTTTAAAATGCAGGACACAAACAGATTTGGCACAGAAATGTACCCTGGGAGTGAAGATGAAAGGTTGCGGTGTGGAAGCGTAAACCCAAGTCACAGCTGTGGCATCCGCCTTGGCCTTGAGATCGGATTGAGCTGGAAGCTTTTGGAGCTGAAGGTTTGCTCCTGGTTTTAGATGAAAGCTGTCAGTGGAGAAACCAACCTGGCTGTTGCTTTCACTGCTGATGCCAGGGTACCTGTTACGGAGATATTCCCTGTGTGTGGGGCTGTGAGGGGACATGGTGATGTCCAGGTCCACCTAGGAGATGGCTGAGGAGATTCCGGAAGCAGCTGTACTTCAGGCAGCAAGACCCCTACGGTGCACTGGTCCCAGATGCAGAACCTGGCTGAGGAAGCCACTGGCTGAACCACATGTAGTAGAGCGGGGATGGACCAGCTCTGTGACCAGGTTTGGATGGTGGCTTACACCCCATCGCTTCCTGGTGTGACCTTTGGAGGCTGTGCTAGTGTGGGAGCTGCTGGGTATGTCAGGTTCTCTGGCTATGGAGGGGCAACCAGTCACCCGTGTGATGCTGAGAGCAATAAGGCAGTGCCAGCATTTTGCACTCACCAGGCATTGGCCGGGGATATTCACATTGGCTTTTTCTAACCTTCCAAGATCCTCCTTCCCTGCAGATGGGAAATGAAAATCCTTGGCATCGGCATGGAGCAGTGGAAGGAAGTCAAATAATGTGGCTCAGCCAAAAAAAAAAAAAGAGGAAGAAACCTGTCCAACCCCACATCGGTACAGCAGGGCATCCGCATGCGATGCAGATCAGTGCGGCTCTTTCTCCCCTGGTGTGGGTGTTGTACAGAGCAGCTAAGTGCACTACATCTTTCTCTCTTGCTCGGTGAACAGCTCTTACATGCTATTGTAAAATGAGAGGGGCTGGAAATGCTTTCCTAGGTTGATCCAATCCCAGTGTTGGGCTTCTGTAAATCTACCCTAACCACTGGCAACGCTGCCAAACCCTGCTACAGCGCTGGGAGAGCGGCTTGCTCCCTGCTTCCCTCTCCATGCCCAGCTGTTCCAGGGCAAATCCAAACTCATTTTGGCAGGTCGGTGAGAGCTTTTCAAACACTCAGCCTAGGAGTCATTTGTTAGTAACAAATGGGGGATTTGCCAGGACATGCTGCTCCATCTGCTCTGGCATCCTGTCCCCTACAGCAGCCTTGACGGATCTGCTCAGGGAAGGCAGGGAAGCAAAAAAAAAGAAGGCAGTTTTCCCATGGAAGGAAAACTACTTCCACAGTCTGTTTGAACAGGGTTTCCTGGGCTGGAGCACCTTCATGGCATGCCCTTGCCTCTGCGCCTGTCAGCGCAAGGTCTGCAGATAACGGAGAATCTGAAGTGATGGTTGGTATATATATTTTTTATTATGGTTTTGCATTTCACTTCTGAACACCAGTGAGGCTGAGCTGCATCCAGACAGGACTTTGATGCGCTTCCCTTGCTGAGTGGGTTTTTTTGTCTTTTTTCCCACCATGGTTAATGAGAGAAACAATCTGTTTATACTTTTCCTATAAAATTCCCCCATGTCTTCATCGCAGTGAAATCTCTCTGTAGACTCTCTGCGTGGAGCCAGCCCTGCACAGAGACGGCCGGCTTCTCAAGCCATCGTCTTGGCATGTTGCAAGGGTTTTTTCTAGTGCTCACCCTTCAGATGCAGGCAAATCTCAAGGGCTGTGTGTCCCACAGCAGGATGGTGGACACTCTCCAAATCTCGAAGTCTTTGTGTTTGGACTGAGCTTGGTGAGGAAGAGATGGGGATGTATCCGTAGCTGGGACAGCTGCTTCAGTAGAAGAGGTGGCCACCCACCCTTCTGGTGGTCATCGTCTTGGATTTGCCAAGCTGTTTCAGTTGAGGTGCTGGTGTGCTGCCCGTGACTGGCTGGGGTTTAGTGGGGGTACCCACATCCCCGATCAGCTGAATCCAGGAATGCATTGGGCTGAAAATCAGTCCCATGCTTGTCCCAGCACAGAACAGGCAGAGAGCAGGCAAGCTTGGAAGGGCAGGGCCCCCAAACACCTCTCTATTGACACCCCACACTTTAGATCAGCTTAAACCAAGTGTGAAACCACACCTTTTAGGGGGCAAAATGCAGGTCGGTGCTAAGTGGACTGAAAAGGATGAGGGAACACAGAGAAACGGCTTGGTGAGCAGATCCAAAAAGGGAGCAAGCTCTGGCAGAGATGCGGTGAGAAGAGGCTTAGTGAGGGGCTCACTGATTAAGACCCAAACGTGCAGTTGTTTGTTTGTTTATTTTTTTCATTAGAAGAACTGGTTTAATCTGAGCTGCTACAGCTTAGATATAACCCCTCTCTTAAATAACAATTTCTCTGCTCCTGAACGCCGAGCTCTTTCCACACCCGCGGCAGTTGGTCTGACTCTGTTTTGTGTGTATGTCTGTGTTTCGCAGTATCCGGATCTGAGCCAGGAGTCCGGGTCTCCATTTGTCTTTATCTGCACTAATCCCCAGGAGATGGTTGTGAAGTTTCCCATCAAAGGAAAACCCAAAATCTGTAAGTAGTAAAGTTTCCACAGATGCCCCCCTTGGCCTTTCGTGCCTTCTCTCATCACCACTTCTGCTTGCCTTTGCCATATGAGTTCGCAACCTTTGCCCTGTGCTCTTTGATCTGTAGGTGTTTGTTTAATGACTCAAATACATCTGTAGTATTTTTTTCTGTCTTCGGTTCCCCCTTTCCCCAGATGTTGCTTCCTTCCAAATACATGCCTCTTCCTGCCTCTGCAAACACTTGGGAGTCAAAGAGCGCTCATGTCTGCAGCTGATCCGTTTCTCGCATCAGCCTGTGTCAGGATACGAGCTGGTGCGGCGATGCTCAGGTGGATCCATGCTACCTCCTTGCCTGTGGTTCAAAATTACCCTTTCGCCCCTGAGGATGGTGAGGGCTTGAAGCCGCAAGAGCTGCAGGGCCAGATGGATGTTCTCCATCCGCAGGCCGGCAGGATGGGATGTCCTGGCAGAGCTTGCAGGGAAGCGCCACAGCATCTGTCCGCGCTCCACATGCCAGCGTTGTTAGTCCCTTTTATGAGCCACCAGCCCCTCCGCAGGCTGCCAGTTATTCCTGCCTGCTGCTGTATAAAGGATGGAGGAGGGATGCAGCAGCTGGGGAGCCTGCAGTCAGCTCCATCCTTATTAGCAGCCTCCCCACCACACCGCCCAGGGAGGGCATCATACATGCTTTCAGGGGATGTGAAAAATTAATTTGACGGGCTAAAAGCAGCATAAGCAGAAATAGTCTTGGCTGTTTGTTTAGCAGAGCTGATGACTGGGTTTTCTTTCTTGTTTGCAGCGTGATTCTCCAGGAGTAGTTATCTAGCGACACAGGAGCAGCAGGATTTCTCTGGACTGGTTAATAAGGGCTTTTGAAGCACAGTGTAGGGTTATTTCTGTTGTTTTTGAGAGGTTCCCCCCCGCCCCGGCTCAGAGAAGCACCATTCTCCCACAGCTTTGGTCTCTCCCTGGGCGTTGGGGATATTCCTGCCCTGCTGGGGAAATGAGCAGGGCAAAACAATTTGGTTTCTTCCGTGCCTTTTGTAGCAACATCTGTGAGGTGCATTCAGCCGATGGCGACAAACGATGCTTGGTGAGCCGTAGCGCTCAGATCTTGCTAGCGGCACCATCCTCCTCCAGTGACGGGTCTTTCCCAGCTGCTGGTGAGCAGGCAGGGCCGCGTGGAGTTATTTAGGATGCAAACGTCTTTGCTGCAGTAGAACAGCCTTGTCGCTGTCGTGTGCTGGAGCATCTACTCCATCCTTCCCCCACCACCCCCCCCTGCCCCCCCCCCCGCCCCTTGTTTTAACCTTCCCATGCTCTCGTACAGGCTCTCTCATGCCCCTTCACTGCCACATCTGCCTCCATCCGGCTGCAGTTAGGAGGAGAGTTGCCAGCGGCGTCTGAAGGGGAAGCTGCCGTGCGGTGTGAGTGCAGGGCAGCCGGCTTCTGCGCGTCTGCCTCACTGGGTGCAGGTGCTGCCGGTCCCCTCCCCATCTGTCACATCGTCTCCTTTGTGTTGTGACACTTTCCTGCTTGGAGAAGGATCAGTCTAACAGC